GCTGTGGGTGTTCGGACGCGCTATCACACCCCCTTATTTATCACACCCCCTTGGGACCGATGCGAGCTGCACTTTATCACCGGGGGTACACAATATATCACACCCCCCACAGTATAGCAGACCGGGTGGTAATATTTTCAAACCCCAAAATGTTACCACCGGGGTTTTTTATATTGTGTCATTTACGGTACAGCAGCTGTAATTGTGTCAAGACATCAGACACTTTGCTCGCATTTTTCACGAAAAATAGGAAAAATGGGACGACACTGCTCCGCTCAGCTCAGCGAGTGGTGGATCCTAGACCAAGTCTACATGGTGGGCAACCTGTGCTCGACAGCAGCAGCAGCAGCAGCAGTAAGTGGCGACAAAAATAATTTGAAAAAAAACACACCGAGCCTCGACCAGATTTTGACCTCCATAGACTACACACATACCCCGTCTCCAGGTGTTTTTCAACCATTTTCTTTTCCTTTCTTGTCGGAAGCTGCGTGACCATACGTTCATTTAGGCCGCGACTAATAAAAGACATTTTCATCGGATAGCGCGGTCGATGCTAGCAAAAAAGACACACCAGAGTCAAGTCTTGTACATAGCACGCGTAGTAGAGTATCCATGTTCTTTCAATCTGTGCGACGTGCGAGGACATCCGACTTCCGACTCCCGACAAGTAGTCTAAGTTGTCAAACTCAGCTTGATTGAGGAGACTGACTTCCCGCGTTGTTGTTGTTGTTGTCTTCAATTCAAACCGTTCCGATCTCTCTCTACGTATCTTCGTATGTCTGTACTGATCCAACGCACGACGCGGTCGGCTACCTTACCCTAAAAAGGTACACTCAAATAAAATGGCCCCGAGGGGCCCGCAAGTCAATAGAAATCAACGACAGATATTCTGGAGTCCTCCACTCCCTCTGCGCGCTATGCGAGGTAACAACTGAGACTAGGAGTCACTATCACGGGCCGGGGAGAATGAGGTACACCCCCTTGGTTCAATCTTGGTATTTAACAACGCAAGACAAGGCCATCTGGCACAGAAAACGAGAGAAAAAGCGTAGATAGAAGAGGTGGGTCAAATTTCTTCTCACAGTCTAGAAGAGAGGACCCTCTCTTCTCTCCGGGCACGTACTTATACGCATACTGTTTGTACTCTTCTGTACTGCTGTACAAAGCGTCTATTCCAGAATATCTGTCGTTGATTTCTGTTGACTTGCGGACCCCTCGGGGCCATTGTATTTGACTGTACCTTTTTTGGGTAAGTTAGCCTGCGACCACGGGGGAATCGACCGCGTCGTGTGTTGGATCAGTACAGATATACATACGAAGGTACAGGGTAGAGAGAGATCGGAACGGTTTTTAATGTGAAGACAACATCATCAACAACAACGCCTAAGTCAGTCTCCTCAATCAAGCTGAGTTTGACAACTTAGACTACTTGTCGGAAGTCGGAAGCCGGATGTCCTCGCACGTCGCACAGACTGAAAGAACATGGATACTCTACTACGTACGCGTGCTATGTACAAGACTTGACTCTTGTTGTTGTTGTCTTCACATTAAAAACCATCCCGGTCTCTCCATCCAGTACCTCCTTCTGTCTCAATCTCTCCGTACTAATCCAGCACTTGACTCGG